ATCACTTCTCAATTAGAAAAGGATCAGTTCTGACTAGACACCCCTACTTGTTATATGTTACATAGACCTGGATTTCACGGATACCTGGCACTCAAACGGAACAAAGAGGAAAACACAATTAACTGATATATGCTGTAGAATCTATAGCATTTGACGGTGTATTTGCTCTGACTGTATTTGTATACCACACCTCACTGGTGCGCCACACCGGACCGAGGACCCGCAGTGCCAGCCGCCCTTCGCCGTGTCGTCGGAGGAGGTCTTGCAGAGACGCGGCGAAGCCTGGCAACGCCAAGGAGCTAAGGGCATCGCGACGAGTCTGTCGCGATCGGACGCGAGGCTACTCGGGGCTCACGGACGCTCCTGGCCGTACTACGACGAACGGAGCAAGGTTTGCTAGGATGAAACGCCGAACGTCGGAGTTCGTGTCTTCTTCCCGGGAGCCCGGCGGGTCAGATGTCTTGACTTCGGGTTTTATGCCATTGTTGTGTTCGCCGGACCCAGGCAAACTCTGTGAATCTTGAAAACAATAAACATACATCAACAAAAACAACAGCAACAAAAACAGTTCCAACAAGCAAAAAAAGAGCAAATGAAAAAGCACAAACAAACAAAAACAAATCCAGCGAAAAAACAAAACAAAAAGCGGAAAACACGCAAATGAAAAAACAAAAAGCAAAACAAAAAATAACAAAAAGGCAAACACAGACAGGAAACGAACGAGAAAAAATCTAAAAATAAAAAAAGAAAACACAAACACACAAAAAAATGCAAATGAAAGCCAAGTCGAAAAAGAAGTGAAACAAATGCAGGAAACAAACGGACCAAATGCGGGCAAACAAATAAAAAAAACAATCCAAAAAGCAAAATTGACAAATGAAAACGCAAAATCAATAAAGGATTACAACATAAAAGACAAAACGAGCAAATCCAAAAAGCGAAAGCACTTGCCCGCTGTTTGTTTCCTTGTATTTGTTTGTTCGCTTTTGTTTGCTTTTTGTTTTCGCTTGTTTTTGTTCATTGTTCATTTGCTGTTTTTGCTTTTGGGATTGTTTTTATTTCATTTGCTTTTTGCTTTTGCTTTTTGTTGTTGCTTTTTTCGCTTATGTTTTTATTGTTTGGAGAAAACATCAGAGATAGCCTAAGTTGTTTTCTTAATGCCATTGATTTTTGTCCCGGTTGGACAGCAAATCCAAGGAAGAGGTGCAGAAAGACGTGGCCGCTGGGCCAAAGCAGGGGTCAGACATGCGTGGAGGGAGGTCAGGGAGGGATAGATAGATGGTCAATTCTGAAGGGCGAATCAGTGAAAGCTGGGACGTTTTTGGTGACCAGGTGCAGGTATTTGTGGCTTTTGTGGTTGTTTTCGGTTTTGTGGAGTTTTCTTGGCAGGTGTTGTCTCTCTTTTGTTTTGAGATCAACGATGCTCACGGACGTGTCAAGTTCGAAGACCGTTTCAAACATTGGTGGGACCAGTGGACCGCTGTGGACCAGAGGACCTGGATGAGGACCCCAACCCGCTGGAGCCCTTAACGGCATGGATTGCTTGATACCATGTCCACCCTTCATCCCTGGCTGCATCTTGACATGTCACCATGGTGAAGTTACTCCGCCATGTCACGATGCGAACATCCCAGCTGTGGGGGCCAGCTGTTCGTCCCAGCTTCGAGTCCTTTTGTTAGCTCGCTGGCCCGAAGAATCCGCTCATACCCAGACCAGACGAATGTGAGATGGGATGGGGTTAATGTATGCGTGTAGTTATGCCAGTTATGCCATAGTCTGTGATGAATGGTAGGCTGCCCCGCCCCGTCTTGGTTTATTTACAAGGGATGGACACTACGAAACCTCTGAAACTAAATAAGGTCAAATAATGGTAGTGATGCAAACATACAACTTGTCGATGATATCTAAGACCCTGTGGGCTTTTGACATAAAGAGAGTGAGGAGGAACCGCTGTTGGGCAAGTCATTGAATCTACATCACGTGTATAGATGTAGATATAGTTATAATCATAATATGTATACATACAAATACATACAACACGTAGATTTATTTGTGTGTCTCAAGGTGCGCACTTCAAGCAAGGCGGGTACAGAGTGCAGAGGACACAAAGGAACCGGTTGTTGGATGCATCGAACTCTGGTGGTGCAGATCTGAAATTCCGTGAACGAGTTGTTCCACCATGCGCCGCTGCGCCTTCTAGGCACCAACTCTCTGGTTTGCTAGGTCAAACCACTATCTTCCTAATTCTTCCTGTTTTTGTCCTCCCTAATACAAACCGTCAGAACACCAAAGGCAAGCACCGTCGACCAAATCTTTGGGAACAGCAATTCTGCCTGGCCCAGAGGACCATCACGGCACTGGGTCAGAGGATGGGGAGCCATGTAACTCTAGTCTCATGGATGGGTGTGGGAAATGATGTGAGTCTCCTCTACATATTTCAACATGACTGTCCCCTCTCGTTAGACTCTAACTCACTAACAGGGAAGTGGAACATGGCCCGTTGGAAGACTGCTTTGTCTATACCAACAGGGGGTCTTCCACTTCCATGTTAGTGAGTAGGGGTGTATCTTTCTTTTTGCACCTATGCCTTTTTCTATAAGTAAGAGGCTCAGCTGGGTGATCTCCGCGCCCGAGGCCGCGCTACGGCAGCACCTGCACGCGCTACGCAGTGGACGGTCCATGCGGCTGGCAGAGGCGGACCCAGCGGTAGGCGGTGCTTTCTTGGATGGGGTCAAAAAGCAAAAGAACCAAGAGGAGATGAGGGTGGATCTTTTGATCTTCAATGATTCTTGGCCGTAGTGATTGCGGGCGCATGTGATCTTCGATTCTTGGCGGTTTGATTGCGGGCGCAGTTGATCGCCGATCAGGATCCGTCACCGGGGAGGCAGGAACGATGGTAGATGTTGGATGAAGTAAAAAAAGACCTCCATTTGGGTGGATGGTCCCTGGTGGATCGTTCCGATCTCCATGGTGGATTTCCCCTGCAAGTGGCCATTTGCTCAATCCATGATGGAAGCAACCTCTTCATATATATGGAAGTCAAGGTTATGCGAACAGACCCAGAAGATTGGAGCCCTGCAGATGCTTCACATGTGCAACTCACATCATTTGCATTTGCTCGAAGCGCTCGACGAAGACTCCTTCAGTCAACGGCGGGGTGGTATCACTCGTGGCGAGTGAAGAGTGTCTCTTTCGCGACCCGAAACGAGTAGGGTAGGGAGGGTAGGGAGGGTAGGGTTCTGGCTGCCAGACATCATCCACAGATGTTGTTTAGTTTTGGTTCCGAGCTCGTTTTCCAGCGTCGTTCTTCAGACCACGAGGCCACCGATGGGCCGAATTGAGGTGACAACCGCAAAGGTTGTAAATAGGACACCCTACGTGCGACCCTGAGACATAAATCTAATCAATCAAATATGAAATGTGTATGTTTTTCCCGAAACAGACCTAGAAAAAAGCAGGAAACCGCTGCTGGAGCAAAGCAGCAATCGCCCCCCCTTGTTTGCTTGCTCCAGGGTGTGAGTCATGTTTTAGATGTTATTTGTTTCATGCACTGTAACCACCCGGATTGCTACGTCTCATGTCAGAACTTCGCCAGGTGAGATGTTTGATGCAAGACGCAGAGGCTCTCAAAGGAGCTCCGACCCTGTTGAGAGGATGTGACCCTGTTGATAGACAACTTCCGTCTCCGAGCCCGCCCGGAAACAGCTGGTTTTCACCTGCCCGGACGTCGCTCCGTTCACAGGTTCTGGGCGATTAGAGACCCCAGGTTTATGGGCGTTTGGGTGGTGGAGATTGAATTCATTCGGACACTGCGGAGGTCCCTGCTGCGTTTTCGAGATCCTCCTGGGCCGGAGTGAATATGCCAGTGGCGGACTTGTGGAAGAAATACCATGGCACCAGCTATGGCATATGATGCTGTGCAGGATGTCCTGATTTTTCTCAAGCAGTGTGATCCCACCTATTACAATATAATAGTTAAGGCCGGGTGATCGGAGGTTCTGGCAGCCGCCGCCGGCTAAATCGCTGCTATTATATATTTACAGTGCATTCATTCACCTCTTCCACGGAACTATAGGTGGTTTTCCAGACCATTCATGGGGGCCTATTGACCGAGCGGGCTTTGGGGTGGATGATTGACCTGGCGTCAAGGTATGTCCAGTCACATGGATGGTTTGGGTAAAGCATTAACAAACATTACACCGGCAAGGGACCCCAAATAGTGTAAAGAGGAACAGATGGAACATGGCATCACGTGGAAGGAAAGAAGGAGCACACAGATGAGAGCACAAATATGAGAGGATACATACAAGAGCGCAAATGTGAGAGTGCAGATTCACGAGCACAAATGAGAGCACACATATGAGAGCATATGGGAGCACATATGAGAGCACACATCTGAGAGCACATACAAGCACAAATCTGAGAGCACATAGGCGAATACATAGGAGCATTTCAAAGTTCACAATGTACCGCGCCTGCTACGAAATCTGCACATGGAGGTTCACAAAGTACTGCGCCTGCCACGAAATCTGCACATTGAGATTCACAAAGTGCTGTGCCTGCTACGAAATCTGCGCATCGAGATTCACAAAGTGCTGCACCTGCCACGAAATCTCCACTTCCAGACTCAAATCTGCACATCTAGATTCACACAGTGCTGCGCCTGCCACGAAATCTGCACATCGAGATTCACAAAGTGCTGCGCCTGCCACGAAAACTGCACATCGAGCTTCACAAAGTGCTGCGCCTGCTGCGAAATCTGCACATCGAGATTCACAAAGTGCTGCGCCTGCCACGAACTCTGCACATCGAGATTCACAAAGTGCTGCGCCTGCCACGAAATCTGCACATCGAGACTCACAAAGTGCTGCGCCTGCCACGCAATCTGCACATCGAGATTCACAAAGTGCTGCGCCTGCCACGAAATCTGCACATCCAGATTCACAAAGTGCTGCGCCTGCCACGAAATCTGCACATCGGAGATCCAAAATGAGCAAATTGCACGAGGCTTTCGCAAATTTTGAAATGCATTTCAGAAATGCTGCGCCTGCCACGAAATCATGCCTGCAGGTCATACGAAATGCTGCACTGGCCACGCAAAAGCATCCTCAAGTTCAAATTCCAAAAATGCGACCCCTCTCACGAATTCAGCCGTTTCACCTCAAAATATCGCATCCATGGTGCGGATTCCCTGTGCCTGCCACGTGAAACGCAATCCTGCGAATGACACACGCCTGCCAACGTTTTTGCAACGTCCACAAAACACTGCGCCTGCCACGAAATTTGCAAAGCCTCCGATTCCTTGCACCTGCCACGTAAAATGACCTTTTCGAGGCTCCAATGTGTCGAATTCCTTGCGCCTGCCACGCAAAATGCACTTCATGTCCGAAAAAGAGCACGGCACCTGCACGAGAGCTTTGTCCCGGAAGCCACTTTATGCGAGCTTGCGCAGTCGAAATGGACATGAGGAATTCAAAAAGTAACTTTTGTGCGAGCCGGCCCACGCAAAATGCCGCAGCCACACGCGCGAACCCTGATCTAAACCCGCTTAACTCTTACCGTAAGAACCCCTTAGTGCGGAGCACTATTTGGGGAATGACTTGTGGACTTGTGTATGGGTCATGAATTATGGCACTTTGGAGATGTGGTTAATCCCGAATAGAGGATGAAGATACACGGGAGCAGACATCATTTTAAGATATATATATATATATTCTTAGATAAGTCTTAAACCTGAAAAAAAGGACCCGACCCCAACTCACTCACCCTCCATGTTTCAACGATGCCACGGACCGCCGTGCTTCCCACATGCTTTCCGGATTTCTTACGATGACGGCAGGAAAGCTGCTTTTGCCAGCTCCACAGCTGGATCGTTTGAATTGGCCTCGCAAGGAATTGGCAGAGCCCCTTGGCGGTCCACCGCGGTTGCGTCATGCATCGCGCGTCACGCATCGCGCGTGGGCATGTGTGGGCATGGGGCAAGGATGTTTGCACCATCCGCCATTGTTTTCGGTAGGTTTCATGGGTGAACACTGCCATTGAAACAATTTGAGCTGCCAGGAGTGTTGCCACCAAAGCAACTACGAGCTTTGTTTCCGAAATCGGGACTTGTTCTGTCTCTAAGCATATATTCCAGTCCCATGGATGGTCTGGGGTATTTTTGTTCGGCACCGATGGTCTGCGGATTGTGTCGTCAGATGAGGCCTGGTCGAAGCGACCCATCGACAACTGGTCCGAGCTGGTGATGACATGAGTCACCAGCGACGTTTGAGAGACACATTGCCATGGCCTCGTGTTGCCAAGATCAGGGCAGTCACATCACTGCCACGACCCTCGTGGCTCCGTACGACTTCCCTCGATCTCCCCCTCGCGATCCGCCCAAGCATGCGCACCGCGTGTGCGGCCCGTGTGGCGTCCGCTCCGGCGCGCTCGCGCGGAGGCTGCAGGAGCTGCTGCAGCTCCTCGACCACTGGGACGAGCTGTGTGGGGACGTGCGACGACGCCTGATGTCCACGGGTGACGGAGGCGTGCTCCGTTGCCTGGTGGATGAGTCGGTGATGAGTGGGTGATGGGGAGATGAGTACGGTGGAGTATACCCAGACACTCCATGGGACTGCCATAGATGCCTACATTGACCCCCCAAAACCATACATACCCTATAGGGATCCAAGTACCTTCTCAGAAGGTGGGTCCAAGTGCCTTCTGAGAAGGTACTTGGATCCCTAGGGATAGTAGTGTCTGGGATAGGTGATAAGTTCATCATTGGATGGTCCAAAGATGTCCCAAAATGGGGAGCAGTATGCGGGAAAGGATGGAGGAGGGGGCAGAAACGAGTCGTACCCTGCAATTTCAAGGGATGTGCGGAGATTGATTATTATTGTTGCTACAAAAACATAGAAAAACCATACCCACTTCATCACATTCCGATGTGCAGCCAAGATCCATCAAGACTAAGATCCTTTTCTTTGTAGGAATTTTAACAGGTTCAAAGTATGTTCATGCAGCTGTCACCTCTTCTTTTGGACATCCTGATCATGGCTAGCTGCGGCTGGCAAGCTATTTCCTCACCAGCCCCCATGGGTCCCCACTATATACTTCCGCTTTTTTCTACTCATATACCATCCAATCACCTTATAAACCCATCCAGTCTACCGAGAAAAACACAAAAACCGTGCCACACCCCATGGACGCCTCCGGCGTGGAGCCGCAGCGGTCAGGCTTGGGCGGCCCCGCCTTGCTCAAGGCTTTGGCGGAGACCTGGCAGAAGCTGAGTCGCCTGGTGCACTGAAAAGGACGGGGACGTTGGCCCACCAAAAGTATCCAGCGGGCGCCCCAGGTTTAATAGGTTTGGGGGGGGTTGGTTTTGGGGATGAAGAGTTGCAATATGTTTCAATCCGAAAAAGGTTGACACCCTAAATTGTTTAGGGATCTGAAAGAAACTCAGGACCAGTCAGTAGAATTGGAAATAAGTGGAAACATGTGGAAACTTAGGCATCAGGGTAGACCACCACCCTCAGCCGCTGCAAGTGGCTCTGGATGTGTTTTTGTCGAACCTGGGGTGCGCCTCAGTCTGATGTCACATACCAGAAAGTCAAACTCCACACATACTCAAATCTTCACTTCAAAGTACATGTTGGGAAACTTGATGAAACGTGATGTCCTACGAAACCATGATCCACCATTTTTCGGTGACGGGACCAATCCAACAGCAGTTCCAACCTCAAACCAGAACAACCACTTCATGTATTGTCATGTTTTTTGTGCGTTGGTTTGGTTTACGGTATAGTTTTGCATGTCTTTGTTGGCTTCAGGGTGCTCAAACGCCAAAGTCCCCGATGGTACCCGGACCCTAACAAGAAGCAGGTGGTTTTGGGACTTGGGAAAGAAAAGCAGGGCATAAAGGCCCACAATGCAACTCCCGAAATACGTGCTTTTCTTTGGAACTTGGATGAGCATCCAGTACACTCGAGCCATGTATGCAACTCCACGCATACACCTGAATCCACCCCAACTGATCGGCAAGTATGGCAAGCCTTACATGGACACTCCATGTATGCCATATATGCTTACACTGACCTCCCTGGCACCACCCCAAATGTAGGCATATATGGCAGTCCCATGGAGTGTCTGGGTTACATGGACGTGTTGGTTTCGGCCGCGGCGTGGGGGGAGCGTGGATCGCTTGGGCCGTCGTGGAGCGAACTCCCAAAGCAGAAATCGATTCGTTGGACATACGGTATTTGGAGTAAAGTGTCCAGTGGGAACATCCCCCAAAAAAGACCATGAATGATGATGACACCACTGGAATGTCCTTTGTACCAACTAAGCAGCGTGTTACGGACTGAGGCCAGTCGGAAGCGTTGCAGCTGGAACTGCAGGACAGAGCTCCTTGGTGTGATGATGACGTGTCGAAGGAGTCCAAAGAAACAAGACCGCAGAGGTCTTCCGCTTCCACCATGAACTGGTATGTGGCGATGGGCCAATGCCTACCCTGAGGACGTTGGATCCGCAGACTAAGCCAACATAAACCTGCTATGCGGGCTCTATGGATTTGTGTTGCTGGAATGCTTGGTTCCAAGGAAAAGAGCCATAGGAACATGTCATTTTAGAGAGGAGTTCCACAGATCGACGTGAACAGGACAAAATCTGACGCCCCCGAGAGAGACTCCTGGCTCCCATCGTTTGAGGTTTGCCCAACAAAGTGCACCAAATGACCGTCGTTGCCGCAAGCAAGAGGAAAAAGGCTTTGCCCAGCATCATCACATCAAAAGGTAATCTTTTGGCCAGAAATGGGAATCGCATCAATCATAGAACTTTTGGACGAAAATCACATATGCCCTGTGGATCCACATACCGAACCTCAGGTACGGTCATTGGACCCTCCTGGCGCCTACATCAATAGTCTCCGTCCTCACCTTAGGTTCGGTGGCAGTGGATCCATAGGGATGAAAGGAATCGGCCAACAGGTTCGGGGTCCCAGGTCCACCGAGCTACCGCCCGAGCTCCGCGAGCTCTGTGGCTATGATGGCAGCTCACCAAACCGAATTGGTTGAACAAAGACCAAAAAACAAAAGATAAGATGAATACGAGTTGTTGTTGTTTTGTTTTTCTGTTGTTCTTTTGTTTGTTTGTATTTGTTATTTTTACTTTTTGTTCGTTTGGCTTTGGTTGACATCCCAAACATAGAGGAATCTGTTCATTTGATCCGAAGTCCACCCAGGGTGGTCCGGGTGCCACGTTTTTGGACCGACGCGCTCGTCTTTGAGGCCGGTGCTGCTCGAGGCTTGGCCTGCGCTTTGGCAGACCGCCTGGGCACCGCAGCAGAGACGATGCCAGGAGGGCTGTTCCGTGTCACCCGCGGACCCGACCGGGCTCTTGTGATGTTGGGGAGTTTGGGAGAAAACCATCGCCAACAACCAGCAGCGGTGGCTTCTGTACCAAGACAGCGCTTCTTTGCAGGAAAGGCGAATTCCCATTGAGCTCGCAGGGGGTGCGCATTTTGATTGTCCATTTGCAGCCATTTGCAAGTGGTTGCCAAGTGGTTGCAAGTGACTGCTACTTCTGTCTGGAGAATATCATGATTTCTCCGCACGCAGTTCAGAAGAAAACCAAGATTTCTGCAATGCTGTTCAGCAAAGAGTTTCCGGTTTTCTCCAGAGCTGCACGCGGAGAAATCATGAACTGTTCCAAGACTTTTCCGATAATAAATTCCAAACTTCTGCACAGCTAGGAACTCAAAGTGCAAGTGTTGAAGTTTACTTGCTTGAGTGACAAGTGGCTGCAAGTGACTGCAAAACCAAAAATCAAAATGTACGTCATTTGCTCGCTCTCTGCGAATTCCGTTCTGCATTGTTTGAGCAAAGACCAAAGGTGCTGAAGGTCAACCGCCAATGGGGTGTCCTGTCGAATTCAGGGTTGGAGCCAATCCATCCCGCAGCTCACTGACCAGGAAAAGCGGGACCTGTTAGCCATGGTTCGTTTTGACGCCGAGTGTCAGCTACCTTTGACAGTGGACCAAATCAGCCGTGCAATTGTCAGTCTGCGGATGAGCAAGGCGGGCATGTTTGATGACCAGCCACAGCTTGATGTCATGGTTGAGCGATTGGATGCACACTTCGAGCAGTTCCACGTGGACACTTTGTGGCAAACATTTCGGAATTGGACCAAGGAATCGCAAGAGCGTTCTGATTGGCTGAAGATGAACCAGCTCAAGCAAAAGAGCGTTGCTGCTGTGACAGCGTGCACACCGGATGTGATTACCCAGTCCATCAGTGAACTGCAAGAGCTCCTCGATCCCTTGATTGTCGCATAGCAGAGCGGGTCAATGAAGAAGTTGTAATTCCATTGGCCAAAGCCCACAGAGTCGCCACTTGCGATGAAAAGGGGCTGTCTCAACGCAGCGACGAAGTGCAGCGTGCAGTTGCAGCACAAAATTCGCGCAAACGAGCAAGTGCCACAGCGCCTTCTGTGTGGTTCACCCACATCACCGTCCTCAGCTTCTTGCCCCTCCACATGCCTGAGACACTTGGAGTCTCCCATCTCAGTGAAGGCATCATTGTTCCCTATTCGAAGAGCAGTTCCACTTTCAAAGAAGCGTGGCCAGGAGCCACGATTCGGGCTAATCCGTCAGATCTATGACAAGCACTCTGTTTGCAGAGTTTGTGAAAGAAACGTCCAGTTTGATTCAAGTTTGCACAGCATACACAAAACAAAAGAGCAGAGCGGCTGGAAAGCCAACTCAGACTGATTAGCTGCCCAGGCCCAGAAGTTTGCGCCTTCAGCGCAGCAAGAACTCGGTGCAAAAACAGTAGATTTTCTTCGGAAGATTAGGCGTGCCAAGCAGGTACCTGATAGTGATGGGCCTGCTCCTGGTGCAGTTGCCTTGAAGAAGTTGAAGGTTGATCCGCAACCGGCAGAAAGCGCCGCCGCAGGGCCACACCAACCGAAGACTCCTGCTGCGCCGCAGCCAAAGACTCCAGCGCCAGGGACGCCTGCTTTTGAGCAGCCTGCTGCAACCAATGACATCTTGGATTTGCACAACAAGGACGATTTGTGCCGGTTCTTGGATGCCACATTCCGAGAGAAAGACCTCGAGTCGTTGCAAATCAGTATCGATGAATTCACGAAGATAGTTGCTCAATTTGTGGAGCACTTGCTGGAGACAAAGCCTCGTAACACAAGCCTCTCAAAGCACTTCCGTGCCATCGGCAGGTCCCGCCGGAAGCTTTTGACTTTCTGGCAGAAGGAGATGCGGGCTCGATTCGTCAGTTTGGGTGATGTGGGCAAATGACCCGGGAACGTTGCAGGAAAACATTGCTGCTGTGTCCTGCACGCCGCCACGCCGCTTCCATCAGCAGAGATTTCGCTAGGTGCACTTGGGAAGATTAACCTGGAACCTGAAAATCTACGCTTGGAACACTAGAGTCACTAGAGCTCTCCATGAACCAGTGGCTTTCAGGCTCCATTGTCAATCTTCCACGGTGATATGGTATAGTATTGATGTTGGACATGTGCCTCCCCCATAGTAAACGGCTAGTTGATGTGACCATGATGTGAACCCCTGACATCGATCTACCCGCAAGGGAAATGATATGATCCAGATGTGATTTCGATTTCCGGCTGTACTGAGCCAATCTGCGCTCAATTTCTTTTTGCGTAAACTTGATCTTTGCCGATTTGCCTGTAAACTCAGTGGATACTTTGATACAGTAAAAAGACGGAAGTCAACATGCATGTACGACCTTAGAGGCGTCGTGTACTTCTTTGGTTCGGTGAATCATTATGTCCTATAGGCTATAAGTACCTCCTCAGAAGGTATGATTGGACCCTCCAAGCCCACACAAACATTTTCTCAGATGGTATGACTGGAGCCCTAGGGATAGTGATATTTTTTTTGTGTGTGTGTCTTCAATGCCAGGACTCCGACAAAGCTTCTAAGCATGCAGACAGCTGGGAGTGCGACAGCTGAGGAACTGACAGTCGTTGATTGGGAGGATACTGTCGGGTATGTACGAAGGTGTACTGTGTATTTTAGTACATATGGATACTATGGCACTGAAATAGTGCGCAAATTGTACAAAGAAGGTGTACATGTGCACAATTTGTACACCTTTGCACGTTTGGACAATAGATGGGAACATTTTGTAGAGTCGCAGAATGTCGTAGAGTTAGACCATGTCCTGATGGTCTTGGACAATTTGTTTTGGAATCTTGGCACCTGCATGTAGGTAAGGATGTATATAAATTAAGTGGTTTGAGAAGAAGACGCTGGGATTGGCCCATTCAATTCTCCAGGGTGTTCCACCCAACATAGACTCCAAACATGTAACCCTGTCAAGGCAGCCACATGTGTTCCACCAGTCAGAGTATTGGTGAGCGCAAACGTGAGACATTCAGTGAACGACCATGTTATTATGTGCGTTTGCAGGACATTCCTCGCTGGTATTATATAGCGTTTCAAGACATCAACCCAGATCCCGCCGAATCTTCCTGCAGAAAGAGCCCCAAGCCGATCCTCCACGCATCACGATAGACCTCCCCTTGATCTCCGGAAACATCACCTCCGGTGGAAGCCCCCGCGGCGAGCTCCGCCGCCGAGCTCAGCGGCTGAGCTCATCAGGCTTGGACGCCGTGCTGGCCGACCCAGCGCTGCGACCAAGCCTACGGCAGCTGGACGTGCCGCTGCCCGGGGGGCGAGGCAAGCGAACCGGTCAGCGGTGGAACCGGGTGGAGAGCGGAGGGCAAGGAGGGTTGCATCGAAAAAGTTTTGATGAACACAATTGACTTTGGGACTGAAGGTGGACAGGTATGCAATTATGTTGTTTATTGTGTGTTTGTTTTTTTTGCCGGGATCTTGTGATTCTCGAAATTATGACAGCAAATTTTGGGCAAGGCATTTAAGCTAAGGCTATGACAATTGTTTTGATGCTCGTCGGCACAACCGCTGACGCAAGGAACACCATGGTGCGCACAGCGTGATCAGAAAGAAATAATAAACCGCTGGTCCTGGTATAGGTATAGATTCGATGGAATGTCCTGCAAACACATAACAATGACCCCTGTTCAACTGTTTCAGTTGGCTGTGCTTGGTTCAATCCATCGGTGGTGCATAGTGACATAGTGCCAGCAGCCGAGCCAAATGGCGGGCGTAAAGCCATATACCTGAATCTTCCTAGGGCTGCACTTTTTGCGCCTCCAACCCAGAAGGCGCCTCTAGGAACTGAGAGGCAATTTTTTTTGCAAGAGGCGATTCTTGTTTTACATAGATTTCTCCCCAGTTATGTTGATAGAACATATGATAACCGTGATAACAATGAAACTGATACACTTAACATATAGGAAAAACCACCACAAACCCCGAACCATGAACCAAAACATAAGTTATATGCATTCAAAAGGTTCAAGCATGATAAAAACGTGAAACACATGAAGGCATGATAACTCACTGTGGAAAAGTGAGCGCATACAACATTATATATGAACTGCTAATTTTCCACTTGGATTGGCCTGCGAAAAATGACCCCCACAAGTCCGGCTTTCCCCTTCAAAACCTGCATGTCAGGCAAGTCGAACCGGACTTGTGGGGGTCTTTTTTGCATGGAAAATTGCAAATATGAACATGATATCGCGCAATTTGATAAACACACATGAAAACATGAAACACATGAAAGCCACATAGAAAAACTGAAACATATGAAAAACATGAAACATATGAAAGCTACATTAAAAACATGAAAGCACAGGAGAGCAACATGAAAAAAATAACACATGAAATATATGAAACAAACACAACATACACGAAAAACATGAAAGCACATCAAAAACATGAAACATATGCAAAAACATGAAACCCGTGAAACAATGAGAGGCGGAACTTCCCGGGTAAGAGGCGGAACTTCCCGGCATCTGGGTCCGTATTGTTATATAGTTTGTTATAGTATTGTGATAGTTTGTCATGTGTCCATCGATATAGTCTTGTTAGAAGCTCGCGAGATTTCTCACAGAGAGCTAGCCAAAGTCAAAAAGTATAGTCTTTGTTATAGTTGTTTCCCTTATCCCAGACACAACCCAATGGGACTGTCATATAGGACTGCCGCCCCATTGACACCGACTTCAACCACCCCAACTGATCGGTCAATATATATATATATACCAGTCCCATGGAGTGTCTGGGAAAGATTAATTACTTAAGACATCTCGTCTCCTTCTGCTGACTCTTACTCACCCTTCTTAGTGTTCCTCATGCATCTATTGATATCCCAAACGCTCCAAATAGCTTTTGGTGCCTCAAAACCTATGGATTTGACACCCCAAACCCCTCTGAGTGGCGTGTGGGAATCCCGAAAAGCTCCCTGAAAGAAAGCTGCAACACCTTATCATTATAGAGCAATACCTACCTTAAACCTCCGGCGGTTGCTTTTCTCAGCCTCTTAGCAGAGAGGCTCAAATGTTAGCCCCTCCATTCAAGAGTTGCCGCTTAGAACAAAAACTGCCTCTCGTGCTTTTCTGGTAGAAGGGAATCTTGTAATTTGTAATGATTTTGGTGGTCTTCCGCTGCTGCTGCCGACAGCTATCAACATGATAAAAGATTATCGGTCAAACCCAAGCAAACAGAGTTTCATCATGCTTGCTAGCAACTGCGTCCAAACCCAAACCAGCCGTTTGAGTTTCATCATCAGGCAAGACGTAACTCTCCAAGGTGTTTGGGGTTTGGAGGTCTTTCAAGGCAGAGTTCATAGGAGTAGGCAGTTGCTGGATTTGCAACCTGAGCGCCTGCAACCGGCAGAAAACAAAGCTAAAATGTTTAGCCAGGAAATGTTCAGACCAAAACACTGACTAGAGGTGAGTATCAATACCTATATATAGAAACGAACAGCCCCACCTGCGGTTGTTGCAGCTCTGACATCAGGGTTGCATCGTCACCATCAAGTTTGTCCACATATTTCTCTTCTTTCACTAACGTCAAACCAGCCATCAGGGTCGAACTCGAAAAGACACGGGACGGAAGCTGATACGCCATTTCCCCTTTCGATTAGAGACGAGCCTGAAAGCGGCAACCAGTCGACTTAATTAAAGACTATGCCAAAAATTCATAACCTGGGCATTCTGCCTCTGAGTTCGGTTTCATCGGTCGGACCTCGGACACCGCTGGTTTCAGGGCGAAAGCGGTACGGAGTCGGTGCCGATGTTGGGTTTCGCCGGGATTCGGTGCAGCGAGATCGTTGGGTGGTAAGGTTGATAGGGAGACCACCCAAATAGGTTGGGTTTTGGTCTATTTTCTTCCTTGTCCTTGCTGGTATTTTGGAGGTCTCTAAAGGCTATCGAGCGGCAGTCTTGCAACTCTTTCTGTGTGCAGCATGATGCTTTCTGAACCTTTGGTACAGAGGCCTGTGGTCATTTCGGAGAGGTTCCCAAATCCGAAGGGTCAAGAGGTCTTGGACCAGGACCAAGCTGTGATTGGGAAGCTGCTTAGGCAGGATCCAGCTAGAATGATGAAAAACGTACCTTTATTTACTAGGAGCAAGAACGCTACTAGGGGCTGCTGGCATCGCTACTAGGAGCGATCGGACGCTACGTTCGGGGCTCCTGGCATAGCGTCCGATCGCTCCGTTCAAGTCACGATGCCAGAGGCCCCGATCGTAGCTTCCTTGTTACTTTTTCAAGGGAAACTGAGGGAGTCGTAGCCATGCTCGCTTCTTCGTTGGCCGTTACAGGCGCTGAGCCGAGCATGGCCGAAGCCTTCGCGCCAACGGAGGTGCACCACAGACTGCACGAGCAGGGAGGAGACGGGGGAAAGGCATAAGTAATTGCAGTTCGGAAGACGAGTGATGAACACATATATTCTAATACCTAGACACTCTATGTATGCCATATTTGCATTGACCCCTGAAACCACCCCAATGTAGGCATATATGGCAGTCCCATGGAGTGTTTGGGACATACATTTAACACATGTGCAGCTTCAGAGATCTGGTCTTTTGTTGAGTTTGTCGGCGCTTGAACTTTCCGCTGCAATGGCTTTCTGGCTTGTTTTTTGGCCCTCCATGTAGTATGGCAGCGCGGGGTTCTGCCAAAGTGATGCGGAGGTTTCTGGGCAATCCACATGTATAAGGACCTTTTTCAGTCCGGGCATTCGTGTGGGACACTTTCCTCCAAAAGACACAGGTCAATCCTTCATTCATATCTAGGTGTCAGTGTGTAGCTCAAATAGGGAGACTTCTCAGTTCGAACCCCCTGGAAGAAGGAATGTAGACCAAAACCCATTGGGCCATGGGGGTTTGTCTATTAAAA